ATGATTGCTCGGCGCGCTTATTATGCTTATTATATTTATTACAACGATATTGCGACATATTGTTGGTGTATCTCTGCGTGCGATCTATGCATAGATACTTGAAATGCGGAATATAATTAAAGGTTAAAACTCTTCTTTAAAAAGGGTTAATGTAATCGGGAATCAGTCATCAGTCACTGTAATCGTAATCATAAGGTTTAAAATGTTTAGAAGGCTACTGACAGCGGAATAATAATCCGATTTGGATGATTAAAAGTTTAAATTAACCATTAATAACTATATTATTTGTTATTGTAAAGTTTTCGTTAAATTTATTGGTGGAAATTGTTTTTTTATGTTTTTAGCAAATTTTGATAAGTAAAAATTTATTTTTAAAGTTAAAATGTTTAAAAGGCTACAGACACCGGAATATTAATCCGATTTAGATGATTTAATGTTTAAATTAATCATTAATAACTATTTTTTTTATAATTGTAAAGTTTTTGTCAAATTTATCGGTGGAACTTCCTTTTATTTGATGTTTTTAGCAAATTTTTGTAAGTAAAAATTTATTTTTAAAGATAAAATGTTTAAAAGGCTACTGACAGCGGAATAATATTCCGATTTGGATGATTAAAAGTTTAAATTAATCATTAATAACAATATTTCTTGTTATTGTAAAGTTTTTGTCAAATTTATTGGTGGAAGTTCCTTTTATTTGATGTTTTTAGCAAACTTTAATAATTAAAAATTTTTTTTGTGTAATGTGTAAATGGCTACTGACAGCGAAATATTAATCCGATTTTATTTATTTAAACTTTAAATAAATCTCTAATAACTATATTTTTTATTATCACAAAGATTTCATTAAATTTATTTGTGAAAATGACTTTTATTTGATGTTTTTCTAAAATTTTATGTAAAAAATTATTTTTTAAGATTATAAAATGTTTAAATTGCTACTGGCAGCAAAGTAATAATCCGATTTTATTTATTTAAACTTTAAATCAACCATTAATAACAATATTTTCTGTTACCATAAAGTTTTCATTAAATTTATTTGTGAAAATGGCTTTTATTTGATGTTTTTTCAAAAATTTAATGGAAAAATTTAATTTTAAAGGTTGTAAAATGTTTAAATTACTACTGACAGCAAAGTAATAATCCGATTTAATTTATTTAAACTTTAAATTAACCATTATTTACGATATTTTCTGTTACCATAAAGTTTTCATTAAATTTATTGTGGGAATAGCTTTTATTTGATGTTTATGGCAAAATTTTGGTATATATCAGTTTTAATTGTTAATAAATATTTAATGCATCACCTAAAATCATCATATATGGTATCAAATGAAAGCCTGCGATAGGATGAACAAATAATGTCACAATTATTTCATTACAATTATTATGACGGAAGTGACAATAAAATAATTCCACATCTTAATTATTCCCATAATTTAGCGACATTTACTCTTCAAAAAAAAAAATTCCAACAGTAGGTTTCATCTAATCCTCTTAGGTCGAGTGTCGTGCGATACGTATCACCTGTGAAAGCACACGGGACCGTATTAGGCATTTTATCGCCGTTTATAGCGCTTATTATTATCCTCGCTCACAAAAACCCTTCCGTACGTTTTGATTGCCGCAGTCTTCCGATTTCACGCGTCCGCTTACATTTCGCATGTTATTTATTGCATATTTTGCCCATCCACCAATACGCCGCTTGCTTTTATTTAGTTGTCAGATGAATTATGCGAATATCGCGAAATGCATCAACGCCATATACGTCCGCTCCTCAATTAAGCGCGTGCATTTGTTTCTAGTCTAGACCCAATCATATTCACGACGTTTCCACTTTCATCGGGCGACTATATTCTTAAATAGGTTGCCGAGGCAGAGAAAAAAAAAGGTCCGTGTGTCGAGGAGTGCGTTATTAATGCGTTACCGAAACGAAGCGGAGCTTTCAACAAACGCGTGCGGAGTGGAAACGTCGTTTAATTATCTTAATTAGTCGGCTGTTATTAATCACAATGTCGAGGTTGTTCTCTTGTCTCATTGTGAAGCATCGCTATTGTGCGATGGATATTTTTTTCAGGAACGTATTTAGTTTTTATTTAATTATTAGTTTTGAAATTTTAGCATAGATGGTGCTAAAATAGCGAAATTTTATTTTTTTTAATTGAATTTTGTTTATTTTTTGGTTAAAATTATTTAATACGGTTCTGTTAAACGCCGGAGACAATACAATAAAACGAGCTTGATTCGTTTCGATCGGGAACCATCCGGAAATGAATACTACGGACATCCGGCGACGCACACATCACTCACACGTGAATGGACGCGCTGTTCGCGACGTCTATTAGGTTATGTTACAACACAATGAGCGCAGCTACGCTTACAACCCTCGTTCAATCAAATAAAGCGCTTCAATTCACAAAGGAATACAAATAAAAAGTTATCTAGGGTTAAATCTGCATGAAATTTGCTATTCAGCAAAGACAAATAAATAAAAATCCGTAGTTTTGTATGAGAATAGTGTATTAACTGTCAAGTGTGATAAACAGCACTTTAACCACGTGTAACGACGTAATGCTTACGCTATTTTTCTTCTTTCATTTTATTTCTACCTGTCTTTCAAATGCGCAGACGCAAGCCCGTGGCTAAACCCGTGGCTAAAGTACTTTAGTCACGACCTTGACCATTCGTGATTAAAAAAAACACTTTTTGTGTCTCAAACAGTTAAAAAAAATGACACTTTAAAAGTGGAAGTAAAAAAATATTATTTTAGACAAATTTATAAATTATTAAAGATCACACTGACATAAATTTTGTTTTTGTAGCACAAATGAGGTGAAAATATTGAATTTCCTCTATTAAAAAATAAAGACTCGTATTTTGAACGACTACTAATTAAACTCATTTATCTAGCAATATCTAGCAATATCTAATAAAATCTATTTAAATGCAAATCCGAATCCGATCGGAAAAATTGTCTATTTCGGATAAAGAACGAGCAAGTAGCACGCAACACGAATCTTCACCTCTTGACGGAAGCGAATCTAGCATATATCCAATATCAAAATTTACATAATCAATAAGATATCTGAACGGAAATTAAATAATAGAATTTGAGGAATGCACGAATTAAATCTGCGGTCTGTTTATAGACGATTTTCAAGATATCCCAATGATAACCAATGCTTGAAAAATCAATGTTAATTTTAATTAATTAACCTAAACTGTTTTTGAATTTCTACCGCTGCTGCTGCTCCGCTTTCTACAATTAAAAAAAGTGCATTATTATAATGTGTCGAAATGATCATAACCGCTGACGCTAATAACCAACTTGGTCCACGAAATAAAATAAAGCCACTTAACTAATTTACACGTTACACGCCGAACCGAATTCGGAGATTCGCTCGACGCTCGTGGTGAAAATCGAACGCAAATTACTCGTAAATTTATCGAGGCGCGCATTTGGATTAATTATTTAATGGACACATAAAAACTAATTATTATATTGACTCTCATTTCGATACTGTGAGTATAAGTAACTCTCAATAAAACTAAACCCGTTTGCTTTCATTCAAAAATTTTATTTTTATTTTTATTTTTATTTTTACTCTCAATTATTTTTTCATCGATGTTTTTATCCAGCCCTTATAATTATATCTATTGATAGGCCTTGAATGCAGGAAGCATGCGAACAATGCGCCCCTATTACAACCCTCTATTATATACATTTTTTTCTTCTTCTTTTCTTTGCTCGGTTTCACCCCACAGTGAATTTCATTATCGTGCACTGTATTTACTCGTACGAGTACATGGATGATAGAAACAATAAACCATCGAGACATCAAGTTTATTATATTACATCGGCGCGCAGCACGCCTTAATTTACAAGTGTGTAAATATATAAATCAAAAATGTCGCCGTGCGCACACACATTATACCCCAACCCCTTTTTACTCGTACCGCGTGCGATGTGAGCATAGAGAACACATTAATGTCGTTTTAGAGTCAGTTGGTTTAATTTGCGGCTTGCTGTCACAGCGGGTCATCTTTCGTCGTGTTTCTATTTGTTTAGTTTTATATTTTCTAACATTAGTATTACATTACTATGTTATTCTTGGGTTTTTGTTTGTTTGTGACGCTTTCTAGCGAAAACTATTGGATGGATTTTGGTAAATTTTTGTGGGAAGATAGTTTAGACTTTGGAGAATAATATAGGTTAGTTTTTGTTGTAAAAATTTAACGAGAAGGGTGTGAAATAAGGGATGAAAGTTAGTATTGTGATTAAATAGAAGTTGTAGTAAGATAATTCATATATAGATAGCGTGAAATGAATTTTTAGAATTTTATTAATACGTTTTTAAATGATTTTGAGTGTATTTGTATGTTTGTGACGCTTTCAAGCATAAACTACTCGACGGATTTTAATAAAATTTGGAGTAGAGATAGTTTGCACTTTGGAAAATAACATAGGCTACTTTTTGTTATAAAATTTTAACTGCAAGTGTGTAAAATAAGAGTTTAAAGTTGATATATTGATTTAATCGTAGTTACCGTGTTATAATTCACACATAGATGGCGTTAAAGTGCGTTTTTAAACCTTTTTCATTCCTTAAACACTTATATTTTTTTATTGGACAGATTTATCTTAGCCTGTAGTTTAAAAACACACGAAAAAAAGCGTAGGTGCAAATCGAACCGAAAATATTCGCCTTTATTTTATTTCTACTTCTTTCTTTCTTCTTTTTTCATACCAATTCATCATGAAACAGTATTCTTCCTTCGCAGCAAATTACCCGCGATGATTTGTGCAATTCACCATCATTTTTTCTCCTCTCCGACGCGTAATTTATTTCCTATCGATATGATTTGTGTTTTTCGTAATTTGATACACGCACCACATCGTGGGTTCTCTTCCTTTCTAAACGTTTCACTGTTTCACTAACTGCAGTGGGTGGTTTGCCTGCGTAATAAATAATTTATCACGTGTATTTATGTTTTTTCAGGAGAAATGTGACGTCGCTACTCTGGTCGACCGCCATTTTGGAGAGCTGTACGTGAACTACACGCACACCAGATGGAGTCTCATCCGGCAAGCGCGCGATCTCCTCGTGTGCGAATATCACGGCTGCCTCAAGCGCTTCGAACACGAATTCTGCCTACCGGCGAGCATGCTGCTTCAAACTGTTAAGGTAATCATTAAAATATTACTCAGGATATTAATACTCGATCGATATCTTGATTATTCAAACGAAAAAATCACGCGCAAGCTAGAAATATTTCGAAATATTTTGTGAGGTGATTTATGGCCCGCGCGGAATAATTAGAAAGTGTTGCATAGATTTTCACCTATATTATTATAAATTCGAGTGAAAATGAGCCGACAAACGATGAGTCGAGAACAAACAGCTTGTGAAATATTAAGCTTTTTTTCGGTGTGTCTCACGCTGTGCGTTAAAGATGAGGATGAGGGTCGTGCGCCTGATTGACGGCAACCCAATTTACATCTTCGAAAATCAAGGCGGACATTTTGTAAATTGATATGCGGGGTTTGTGGTTATGTTTTCCGTATGCAATTAAAATAAATTGTTTGCGCCTATCTTGATATTGGATCCGGGCGCATGCAATGCGGCGCAACTTTTTAAGTTAAAAGCACGAATCATGCCCATATGACTAGGTCTTATGATGATAATCAACTGCACGTTTCAACGTCTAAAAGGGAAGTTTGTATCATAACAATCTGGATGCGTTTACTTGTAGATATCTACCCTAATATATTTTTTTATGTGAAAAGTTTTTGTGTGATTTTCTGTTTTTGTTGCTTGGAGTTTTTAGTATAATGGCTGGCACGAAATGTGGAGCACGATTCTGGCCCAATTTTCTTTCTGTGGCGGAGCAGCACGCCATGTTAATTTATTGCTGCGCCTGCGCGTGTGTCTTTTCGGCCATATTGCACATTGTTTCGTGCGCATTGTTACGAATATGTGTGCTTTATGCCGTTTCTTGTTCTCTGTGCGGCTCGTTTCAATAATAATTCACTTTCCATTATATCGGGCAGTGCATTTGCCTCGGAGTGATTTCTTATTGACCATATTGGGGCCGAAACGCGCACTTCTTTTGTTTTCGGTTATAACTGTATGCTTTTCGCTTTTGTTTCGAGTGACTGCGAGATGATGTGCGCCCAGATTTCGGTGGATTTCATTGATTTTTCGTTGCGCACGACTTTCTTCCGATAGCTTCATTAGGTTGGATATTGCGCGGAGATTAATTCACGAAAATCAATTGCGTACTCGTGCGCTGTGTCAGTTTTACTCGTTAGAAACGTTGAAATTTCATTTTTGTGTTTAAAGTTTTCTTGTAGGAATTAATTAAGAAAAATTTTAATTTTATAAAATGTAATTAACGTATTGTCAGATGTTGGGTGTTTGGTGTATGTGGATTTGATTTAGGAGCGTAAAAATACGTTAAAACTTAATTAAGAAATTTTTCATCCGCGATCGAGGCGAGGTCTGAAAGTGTTTGAGGAGTTGAGGAGTGTGTTTTGCGCGCACGCGGTGTGTTCGGAAACGTGAAACGTGACGAACTCTCACTGCAAATATTTCATTATTTCATATTTTCTGCCCGACCGGCGGCGAGATGCTGTCGATTTGTCGATTTTCAGACCCGGCGAGAGACAACTTAATTTGGAGTAAGTATAAATAAACACTGCAACTACGTTCGAAGCGATCGAAAAAGGTGAGGAATGATTTGGTTCGTGGCAAGCAGCGAGTTTATTGCTAAGTTGATCTGAAATTGTAAATAGCAGACAAAATGTAGAAATGTCTTATTTTAAGATGGAAACGGCGATAATTGTAAAATTTTTGTATTTTTAGTTGTTTTTATGTTGTTATTTTGGAAAACACTCTGTATCTTGCAATTCCTGGGTCCAATTTTAATTGTGTTTGCTTACATTTACAGTAGAAGATTTGTTTTATCAAATGTTGACCATTTCAGTTCCGCCCAGGGTGAGTAAGTACCTTTAAAACGTTGGCAAAGTTTGCGATGTTTAGAAATTCTTTGTATTTTGTATTAGCGATTTTGTGTCTTGAAATTGATTCTGTGTTCTCATAGTTGCTGTATAATAAACGCGCTGAATCACACAACACGTTTATACATTGGAATGAAACCTATCAATAAACATATCGACACACACAAACAACTGATTCATGCACAGCTGCATTGCTGTGCTATCTTTTATTTTTAAAAATCCCATGAAATGTAAACTATTTCAGGTAGAAACAAACCGCATTTGATAAGAGAGCTCTGTGGCTCAGTGATGCATGTACTTGCTAGCATGCTATGGGTTCTCGGTTCGAACCCCAGTTGTAGAAGGAACTTTTAGTAAATATAAAAATAATTCCGAGTTCGCTGGGTTGCCTATGCAACAGAATTCGAATTCAAATAATAATAAGTTGAAATAAGAAGTTACAAGAGTAACAGAAATAAAATCAGAGTTCAGAAGAGCAGGGAAGAAAAGAGGAATTAGAATAGAGGGAAAAGAAGAGAATAAAGGAGTTGTAGAGAGCAAAGAAATAGAAGTAGGAGAATAAGAGAGCAGGAAAAAGAACCACTCCGAGACAGGGGTGGCCGGATTTTTAAATTTTTTGGCACGTGTCGTTATAAGACAGTCTACGGTCGATTCTTCCATTGCTCCCGGCCCATCCTACAGCTACGATGTCTCTGCGCTTCATCCCCGGATTTCTCAGGCATATCAACAATTTTTATGGTGGGGGATCATCCCCCGAGAGGGGGAACTCCTTATAAGGACTCCCGATAAGGACTTGTTGAAATATTTTAAGTGTCGCCTCTACTAGTGCCGACTAACAACTGAGAAATAGTCCTTGCCAACCTGTACCTGAAATGATAGAAGGGGGTGCACAAAGAATAGAAGTCAGAATATCTTGAATCCTCTCTTTATTTAGACAAGTTTTACATATGTAGACTAGTACAATAAAATTTTAGACATTTATATTTATATTTTAACACCAGCCATACCAGTTTAGCCTCTCGTGTACATGCGGACATGTTGAGACACGTCTCACGACTTAGTCCACCTTCCACATGCCGCCATGTTGGGAGTCCTATAAAAATAACACAATAAACATACACATTTTCTACGTTTCTCCGGGGATGGAAAGGAAAATTATTATACAGGGTGTTGCAAAATAAAAACCTAAAAACAAAACTCCTTAATCGAGAAGAACATCACGAAAAATTATTCTACCTAGCCAATTTTCTGCGAGACGTAAAGGAAAACTAACATACAGGGTGTTACAAATAATAACAATAATATTTATAAAGAAAATTCTTTAATCAGACAAAAAACACCTACAAACATTCAAATTAATCAATTTTCCGCGTGCGATAAAGAAAAATTAATATACAGAGTGTTTCAAAATAAGAAAAACCATATCTAGAACAAAAATTTTATATTTACGAAGGAAAACGCCCAAAAATTATAATTACAAAATATTTTCGCAGGATATCAAGGAAAAATTATATACAAGGTGATACAAAAAGCAGACACCCTCAATTCAAAAGAACTTTAAAATAACAAGCAGGAAACACAGTCAAATTGAAATTTTTACTTTTTTTGCATGATATCAAGGAAAACTGTCATACAGGGTGTTACAAAAACATGTTTTTATCTCTTTCTTGATGGATACCGAGGATTGGTCATAGACGGGTAAATACATAATTAAAATATTAAGACTGCAAAGATAAGACGATAAAAATTATTAAAAAATCAATTCCTGCGAAATACGCATTGTTTATTTTTTTGCTGCGTGATTGGTAGTTACTATTAAATCTTGAATTCACTCATACTAGTACGTAGTACAAGTAAATGCTAGGTACATGTGATCCGTGACAAAGAAATGGGGAATCATGTCACAAAACTAGCAGTTGTCCCAAAATCTGCGGTGTTATGTCTCAATCTGCAGATTCCCCTTGATGTTAATATGATCAACGCGTGCAAATATCGCTTAAATACCGCTTGCAAGAGGTGAAGGACATTGATAACGTTGGTGTATTTCCGATTGCACATCACCGCGTGGCCCGACATTCACGCACAGGGACAAAAACACGTAATTCGCGAACAACGATGATCCCACACATTATTCATTATTACCCTAACACTCCGAACAGTTAATCACAACTAAATTCCACCGGTTTTGGCTTTAATTGATGAAAAACTACCAAATTATAACCACGAGAAACGTGGTCAGCCACGGCGAACGCGTACGGATCAACTGACGATAAGCGATAACAACGAACAGGTCGAAACACGCGCACCTGGTATCACGTGAACAGAGGGGATCGCAGCGATGGCACACGACAACAACATTCAAATATAAAAACAATAATAAATAGAGATCAAAGAAATATTGAATTTTAAAATCAGACATATTGAATGTCATCAGAAATTGCTTCAAACGATTAAATTAAATTAATGAACAAAGTGACACAGACTTTTATTGAAGAAAAGAAGGAAAATGTAAGATGTAGGTAATATGTTTTGAAATCCCTATAAATATTACCGTATTCCTTGTGGTGGTCGTAGTTGCAGAACATTTGTAGAACTGAAACAAAAGAAAACCCTATTAAAATACGATAAACTTAAAGTTTCTTTGCTTATTTTTATACCAACATCCAAAACATTCTCATTCATTCATTCAATTTACTGCCAATTGCGTGCATTCCTTCTACTTGGTTGCTTTTACTCCAGTCTTCCCCTTGGGAAATCCACCATCTTGCCGCCTATTAAACTCCGCAACAAACGAATCGGTTTCGTTTTGTTTCACGGCGGTGTTATTACGAAATGGATTTATACTCCCGGAAATAAATATGAATAATATTTATAAAGAAAATTCTTTAATCAGACAAAAACACCTACAAACATTCAAATTAATCAATTTTCCGCGTGCGATAAAGAAAAATTAATATACAGAGTGTTTCAAAATAAGAAAACCATATCTAGAACAAAAATTTTATATTTACGAAGGAAAACGCCCAAAAATTATAATTACAAAATATTTTCGCAGGATATCAAGGAAAAATTATATACAAGGTGATACAAAAAGCAGACACCCTCAATTCAAAAGAACTTTAAAATAACAAGCAGGAAACACAGTCAAATTGAAATTTTTACTTTTTTTGCATGATATCAAGGAAAACTGTCATACAGGGTGTTACAAAAACATGTTTTTATCTCTTTCTTGATGGATACCGAGGATTGGTCATAGACGGGTAAATACATAATTAAAATATTAAGACTGCAAAGATAAGACGATAAAAATTATTAAAAAATCAATTCCTGCGAAATACGCATTGTTTATTTTTTGCTGCGTGATTGGTAGTTACTATTAAATCTTGAATTCACTCATACTAGTACGTAGTACAAGTAAATGCTAGGTACATGTGATCCGTGACAAAGAAATGGGGAATCATGTCACAAAACTAGCAGTTGTCCCAAAATCTGCGGTGTTATGTCTCAATCTGCAGATTCCCCTTGATGTTAATATGATCAACGCGTGCAAATATCGCTTAAATACCGCTTGCAAGAGGTGAAGGACATTTATAATGTTGGTGTATTTCCGATTGCACATCACCGCATGGCCCGACATTCACACTCAGGAATAATAACACGTAATTCGCGAACAACGATAATTCCACACATTATTCATTATTACCCTAACACTCCGAACAGTTAATCACAACTAAATTCCACCGGTTTTGGCTTTAATTGATGAAAAATTACCGAATTATAACCTCGAGAAACGTGGTCAGCCACGGCGAACGCGTACGGATCAACTGACGATAAGCGATAACAACGAACAGGTAGAAACACGCGCACCGGGTATCACGTGAACAGAGGGGATCGCAGCGATGGCACACGACAACAACATTCAAATTTAAAAACATTAATAAATAAAGATCAAAGAAATATTGAATTTTAAAATCAAAAATATTAAATGTCATCAGAAATTGCTTCAAACGATTAAATTAAATTAGTGAACAAAGTGACACAGAAATTTATTTAAGGAAAGAAAAAAATGTAAGATGTAAGATGTTTTGAGATCCCTATAAATATTACCGTATTCCTTGTTGATGTCGTAGTTGCAGAACATTTGTAGAACTGAAACAAAAGAAAAACCCTATTAAAATACGATAAACTTAAAGTATTATAAATTTCTTTGCTTATTTTTATACCAACATCCAAAACATTCTCATTCATTCATTCAATTTACTGCCAATTGCGTGCATTCCTTCTACTTGGTTGCTTTTACTCCAGTCTTCCCCTTGGGAAATCCACCATCTTGCCGCCTATTAAACTCCGCAACAAACGAATCGGTTTCGTTTTGTTTCACGGCGGTGTTATTACGAAATGGATTTATACTCCCGGAAATAAATATGCCCGCTGGCTGCAACCATTCTAACTCGCGACCAAAACCGGCGGTGGCAGTCAACCAACCAAACGGACAAGCAAAAGCAAAAGCAAAACCAGAAGGAAACAAAGATGAGCAAATTATTTCACCACGCGGCAACCAATATCAAAGCAACCACACAACACAGCTATTTATTATGTGTTATCATCGTGTCCATTACCCACTCTTTAGTGTACGAATCTCGTAGAGAACAAAGTGAAAACCATTGAAACCAATAAAACCATTCCACATACCGAGTTCTATTTTTCTAAATTTGGAGCATATAAATATAAAATGTAGGAAACTCACTACACCACGATTGACCATTGAAAATAGAAATCGTCGGCGTGCGCCGCTCTGCAATAAATCAATTTTTCCTATTATAATCTATATATAATTAAACGCTTCTTGTAATTCCCGCGGCACATAAATAACCCAGCAGAAATACGAGCATTATTACACTTGAATTATAAATTCAGAAACGAAATTAAGAAGAATCACAAGGGTCTACGTCTACAGCATCCTAAATAAATATAAAATATAATGTCCCAAATGCAAAGGGCAAGATCACTTGCTGTGAGCGTAAATCTATCCGAATGTGACCATTGTTATGTTATGAGGGTGAGCTGAATGTCACGTCCCACACAACAACTTGCTGGTAGTTAAATTCAACGTTTTAAAATACATTCACTTGGCCGAGAGAGGCAAAAGGGACACAGATAGTGTCCCTTGATAAGGATTTAACAAGGGCTCGCACCCACCCAAGCAGGTTTCACGAGAAAAGAAAAAATCTTTTGTTGTCAGCTCCGGGTGGTCACCGCGCTCACATACAACCACAATAATTCAAACGGAATTATTTGTAATTCTCAGGTTTTAAAATAAAACTAAAAAAATTTCTAACTTGTATAAAAATACAATTAGTGTGGTAAAACAAGATTGTTATGTTGTATCAATTTGAAAGCAATCTCACCCGATATTTATCGGTTCATTTAAATATAAATTTCGTGTGTAACGCGACGCCAAGAAGAAGAGTTCTTCTTTCCCAACAAATTTCTCGTTATGACACACACGAAATTATCACGGCAGACACATAACAAATTCACACTATTACGGTACACGCGGTTCAAGGCTTGGAAGTGTTTTCGTCCGTCGTGGCATGCACGAATGAGATTCCCTTGCGGTGCATTTCGGCTTAAAACACCCGTCCGGACACTAATGGGCCTCATAAAATTGAATCTCCCCGAGTAAGACTCCAGACTTCGCGTTTGCTTTGTTCTGCTGTGATGTTGTCTTCTTTGCTCTGCTTTGGTAAGCTTCTCTGGTTACTTGTTACTTGTTTCTCGGGTTGTCCGGCTACGCAGCGAACATGCGCTGCTTATAGATGTATTTATATTTATAAACTCTCTCGGATTACATTTTGGGCGCTCTTTCGGCGCTGGCCATGCGTGATTATATGTTAATCAGAAGCTACTTATGAGATTTCACAGCGCGGCGCGATGAAAATCAAACACCTCTGAGTCTCTGAGTCGGAGTCTTCTTCTTCCGACCACGGAGTTTTAATTAAAAATATAAATTATTATTTAAAGCTGTTTTAAGGTTTATATAGTGTGGATTTTGAGGTTATTTTAAGGTAATAATTGTATAGTAGGCGTTGAAAATATAAAATTTAAAAATAAACAGATTAAAAGGGATTTATGAAGTTTTTCTTCTTGGTTTTGATAATAGATGTAATTTTATATTTTGTATGAAATATTAGAAACTAGCTTTAACCCGCGGCTTTGCTCGCGAATATCTAAAATAATGAAGTTGCTTCCGAACGCGTCTGTAGTCACAGAAGAAGTAACAATGAAGTAGAATGGCGGGAAGTTTAAAATGGCTGAAAGTATAGTCTATGGAAGTATAGTGTACAGTCTCCATAATGTAGTCAATTGGATTTGATGTTGACGTAGCTGTCGGTAATACAGTGTGATAATACAGTGTGATGGTACTATAGTACTTAGGTTTGAGCTTCATTGCTGGAATGCTAGATGGCGTTAAAGTAGTCAAATAGCCAGATGCAGAGGTATTATTGGCTAAACAATTTCTTTATTTTATTTAAAAAATTATTTTTTTTTATTAAATAAAAAGTAGGCTATAACCATTCGGGGACCACTAAGAATATGTGTACAAATTTTCATGATGATCGATTAAGTAGTTTTTGCGTGAAAACATGATAAACATCAGGACTTTCGCATTTATAATATTAGTAGGGATTAAAAAGTAATGGAAGCATCTATTTTTGTTGGGTTTTTATATAATAGTTTTTGAATAAAATGCAAAAAACAGTTTTCAATAAAACTTGAATATCTCCGAAAATAATTATTCCACATCATCGAAAAAAATACCATATTTAAGTACAATTAATTCCTCATCTTATCCAAATTCTCATTTTCAAAACAAAATTATTTTACCCATGTAAATCAAAAAACCATCGAAATTATATCTCGATCGATCAATTACCCATCAATTTGTTGATTTTTCCACTGGGAACTCAACTTTCCTCGAGTGCACATCAAATGCACGCAGTAATCATAGGCTATAAGTCACGACTGCGCATTGCGATGCATGTTTTAGGTTGGGAATCAAAGGGAGAATAAAAACCACGACGCTGGGAACTTCAGCGCGTGCATAAATTAATCCGTCAAAAAATATACTTTTGGTAGAAAGTTATGCCGGGCGGTTGTTGTTTGTTGTCGTGAAATATGGGTTAAACAAATCGCCTCGATACCCAACACCGCCATTTTTCATCGTCGCATCCGTTTACTTTGTGCGTGCGCGTTGTTTTTCCCGGCATGGTATGTGTGTGTATGGTGTTATGTATGCATTTCGCGTGCCGAAATGATCGACAACTTGTTTCTTGTTTCCTGCGTGAACGAAGAAAAGTTTCAAGTTAAAACTAAAAGCAAATGATAAAAGTTGAGTTCCGCTTGATGTTCGCCACACGATTGCAGCAAAAAGCAGGTTATATATTTCTGTTGAATGCAAGAGTAATTTTTTTTGTTAACAATTGCGTGCCGAAAACGTATTGTATTGTTACATCTTAATTGTGTCTTGTCCTATATTATATTTCATAAGTGCAAGAAGATGAAAACTTTTTTAAATTTACATAATTTCGA